TCTGCGGCCGGCCACTCGCCAACGGCCGCCGCACGCGCCGCAGGGGGCCTCGCCAACGGCCGCGCCCAACGGCTGCCGCGCGCGCGGAGCCCCCTTTTCCTCCCTCCCTCCCCGGGGGGCGGCCGCCCCTCACCGCCGGGCGCCGCGGGGAGACCCGGCCCGTTTCGGGGCAGCGGTGGGGAGGCCTGGGAGGCGGTGAGCCGGGCCCAGGGGCCTACGGGCCACGTTTGCCCCGGGCGGGTCTCAGGGCACGCAGCGGCCAGGGCGTTGGGACCCAGAGGGGAACGGCCGGGCTGCCGGGGGCATCCGGAAGAAGCTACGAATCCGGCGGGAAGGGGGGGAACACCTCAAAGCTGAGAGAGGTGTGTGACGGGCCCAGCAGCCGTGCAAACCAACCGGCAAAAAAACCTCCAAACAACGGCAAAATAAAACACCAACCCCAAAGCCACAGACATACCTGATAAGCTTTGTCAAATCTATGGGACTGAGGGTGTTTCAGGCAGGGAGGGTGGAGAAATCCTTCCTATGCTAAGTCTGGAAGCAAGGAGAGCAGCTCAGGTGAGAGATGAGAATGACGAGCAGCAGCGGGTTTTGGTGCAGTGGTTTCCATCCAGCTCAGAGCTAGGGGCTGTGTGATTGCCCTGTGATTTGGATTAATCTTGCTCACCATGATGCCCATAGGGCTGAGCTGCCCTCGCCCGCACGCGGCCTGTCTGCGCTGTGAGGGTGCAGGATGCCGGCTGCAGCACCGCAGAGCCCAGCGCTGCAAGGAGACGACGCTCGTTCCACGGCCGAGGATGCTGCCACACGTGCCCGCCATCTTCAGCTCCTTTGGTGTGGAAAGCTGGGATAACGGTACTTACTGGCTCTGGCGCCGGCAAGAAGGTCATTTTCATGGACATAAACAGGACACTCGACAGCTAGTATCTTTACTGAATGAATTTATTGGTTTTTGAACTAAAGTTGCTCACAGTTATTTAACAAGGGATACATCAGATTTTTTTGTCCATTTTAAACCATTAAATAATGTCAGTTTGTGTCTGTATATGTGTGTGTGCGCGCGTGTGTGTCTTCAAAGTACAAAATAGGAAGGATAACAAGAGGTATTGCTTTCATTTATTCTTATATCTTGTGTAGGTAATCCCCTTCCTGCTTGTACCACATGGGTTTTGCTGATATAGGTATTTTTAAAGTATTATTATTATTTTGTATTGAAATCCCAGCCTTTTGTAGAGGTACAATGTAACAGAAGCATCAAAATCTATACACAAGGGAAGAGAAAAGAGGGAAAAGAAGGACGGGGGTGATGGGAGGGGAGCTCAGAGGAGAAGTAGAGAGAGGGCGGAGGCAGGAAAGACAACGAAAGCAAAAGAGACTAATTTACAGCAATGTCATGCAATTAAAACTGCCCCCCTCTCCTGCACCCTTGCCTCCCCCCCTCCCCAGCCATCACTCCCTGGTGTCTGACATGCACACAGCAATACGAGAGAGAGAAAAGTTTAAGAATAGGGAAAATAAATAAATAAATAAAACAAAAAAAATTAAAATTAATCCCTCCCATTTGGGGGAATGGGGAAACGAGGCAAAAGTCAAAGGTCTTTGCCCCAGTTGTGTCTTTAAAAATTCTTTTTAATCTTCAAACCTATGTACAAGTAAAACTGGTCCAAGAAGGGGAAAAATGATTAAAAAAAACAACAACGACAACAACAACAAAAAAGAACTCATCCAACATTATCATTAAAAAAAATAATCTTGCGATACAACATACACCCATAGGAACCCAACGAGCAGCAATCGAAGGTCATAAAAGAGCTGAACACTAATGCTAAGCCTACATTCTTAAAATCTCAGTCAAGAAGTATTTCTCACTGTGTTTTGTCTTCCACGTGTTTGCTTTTTTTTTGTTTGTTTAACCTTTGAGCTTGGGCCAGAATAAGTTACACTTGGTCACATAACTCTTGAGGAGAAGGAAAAAAGGCAGCGGTTCTTCTTTCTCAAAGTCACAAGCTGAACACTTACAGGGTTTCTGTGTCTTTTTTCCCCCTCCTCCCCAAAATAAATAAGAATCAATGTTGCCTCTACACAGTTATTAAACAGAAGATATATCTAACAGCTTATTTTTTTAAATATATATATGTATATATAAATAACCGAGACCTAATAACTGAAACACACAAAAAAAAAAAGTCCCCCATCCACCCAATCCCACCCTCCTCCCCTTCAAAAAAACCAAACCAAAACAAAAACTTTATAAAAATATCTTGCAGTAATTTTTAAAGTTTACAGTAGCTTCGTGATTAAGTCTCCCATTGCCCTGACTCCACCTTGTCTTGCTCTGATGAACTAAGTGCCAGTAATTTGCACACACACACACACAGGAAATAAAACCCAAGATAAGTCTCTTTTCTTCCTCCTCTTCATCTTCTTTTTTTTTTCTTTTTTATCTTTTTTTTTCTTTTTTTTTAGAAAAAAATCACCCAAGCCAACAAATGAAACTGGTAACTTAAAGAAATAATAATACTGATATCAATGCAGCACTAGCAACACAACAATTGCCTCTAAATGCAGGGTGTGGTGGAGGATCCAGCTGGTCGAAGAAGGTCCCAGCGCGGTGGCACAGTGGCAGGGAGTTGACAGGTGGGGAGGAAGGTGTTGGAGGAGGAGCAGCAGTAGCAGCAGCGGCAACTGTGCCCGGCGGCGGGAGAGACAGTCCTTGGCAGAGTCTTGTCCCTCTTCTTTGCTACCAGAAGTTGCCTTTTCCCTAAGTTTTAATGTTTTGTTTGTATGTGTTTATTCATTGAACCCCCTCTCCCTCCTACGTTTACTCCTTTCCCCTTCCAGCAGGTCAAAAAGCAAAATGATACAGTACAAAAAAAACAATTGTTTTGTATATATATGTATGTACGTATGTATATTTATATATATAAATATACACACATATATACATGTATATATAAAAAAGGGGGAAAAGAAAAGGAAAAGGTGGTGGGGAGAAAAAGAAGGTTAAGAAAATCCCGTGATGAAGCTCCCCAGTATTGTCTTGGTTCAACGCTTAGATTTGAGTTGCTCCTGGCTGGTTTCTGAGGAGAACGCGCTCTGGGTTCAGGGAACACTGCGGTCCCGCTACGCCCGGCTCCTGCCCCGCACCCTCCCCCTCCGGGCTCAGTTCACCTGCGCGGACAGAAGTTGCCAAGGGTAAAGGTTTCACTCCCAACAATTTGCAACCTCCTTTCAGCCCAGACTCTGCAATCCCGTAACTGAGCAGATCTCTCTTATGGAGCACCAAAAAAGAAAAAGAGAGGTGGGGGGAAAAAAAAACCCAAAAATCAAAACGGCGTGCACTGGGGAGGTGTTTGGGGAGAAGTGGGGGAGAAACCCACTTCCTGAAGGGAGAGGGGAGGCTGGGAACCTCAAACAGGACTGGTCCTTGGACAGTCTACATCGGTTGCCTTCCGTCAACAAGTGTCCGCAGAGCACAGAAGGTGAAGCCGTGGCTGACATGTTAACTTTTCGGGATAATTCCTGGTAGCAGAGCGGAAACAAGTGGTGTCGTCAGAAACACAGAGAGAGCATGAACAGAACAAGAAACAAAACAAAAGAAAACAAAAAATAATAATAATAAAAAACCCAAAAAATCAGGAAGGAGAAAAAAAGCAAAACATTCAAAAAAAGGGAGGAAAAAAAAAACCAATCGAAAAAACCACAACCCAAGATCTGGTGAACTGGGTTTGTCATCTGTGCTACCTTTTCTTTTCTTTTCTTTCTTTTCTTTTCTTTTCATTCTTTCATTCGTTTGTTTTTGTGTTTGTTTCTGAGATATATATTATATATCATATATAAATATATATATGTATATATATACAGTCATTCCTTCATACAAAATTTGTCTATAGACAGTTTTGTACTGTTGTGGCAAGGTATATACATCCTTCTAGTTTAGAGGCTAGCTTGCTAAGGAATATTCTTTCATTCTTTCTTGCTTTTTTTGTTTTTGTTTTTGTTTTGTTTTGTTTTTTTTTAAGTTATTTAATTTTTTATGTGTTTATTTAAGGTTGGTCTTGTAGGCCGACTGATGAGACCATCTTTGCCTTGTCTTTGCCAGCAGGGTACTTATTGTCTCCTCTAGACCCATAGTCATTAGAACCGGAATCGCTCCGCTTGCTGTTTGCGCTATGCTTGGTTGGCGTGCCGGGGGGATGGCTCACCTGCCCGTTCTTCTCGTCTGAAAAAAGTTGTTTAATTACGTCAAAGAAGTTACTCAATGGGCTGCCTGGGTACACAAAACAGAGGAGACAAAAAAAGAAAGAAAGAAAGAAAGGAAGAAAAAAAAAAAAAAAACAAGAGGGAAAGAGAGAGAAAAAGAGGAGAGAAAGAGAGAGAACAAACAAACAAATGAACAATGGGGTTTTTAACGAGAAGAACATGATGAGGAGATCCAGAGCCACGTGCGTGGGGGTGTGTGGGGGATGAAGACAATGAGCAGGAAGAGGAAGAGTGTTTAGGATGGGACACCTACAGAAATAAAGAGGCTGGAAGCATAAAGCACCTAGGGGGAAGGTCTTACTCTTCTCTTGAGTGGGGAGCAGTGCTGTCTCACCTAGCAGGAGTACACAGTACCGTGTGGCTGAGATAGTTCAGTCTATTACTTGGAGTCACTTGGCCACTCCACACTGCAACGTCCGTGAATGTAATGCTGGATGCAGGCAAATCCCACCTTCCTGCTGCTCTTACAAACACGGAGTATTTGGATGTGGTCACCAATTGATGCTTTGCTTTGTAGCCTTGCTGAGCTCTCTGGCTACACCGGGCATTAGGCTTCCTTTGCTTGCATTTTATTTCTTTCTGAGTATCTCCTTGCTTGCCTTTCAGTCACTAAGCCTGAAGAACCTGAGTGCAAGAGAAACAGCATTGAAAAATGAGCTACGGCTGACACGAGTGTTGTCATCTGCATGTGTGGTTTGTGGCTTGTACTTGCAAGCTTCTAAGCACCTCCAGATCCTTCTTACAACAGGTGCCTGGAAATGAAGATGCAGAACGCATTGTGGAAGCAGGGTGTTAGGCATCTAACTATTGCTGGGACCTACCAGGGTCAAGAACTACTTCCTCGTTGTCCTGAATTTGTATTCTCTCTCTGATATAGCCTCCATGACACTACATTCACTCCAGTGGAGCTAGGAGCCAGAGGGGGGTGTAGGGTTGCATGCTAGTAGAATAGGTATCTCATTAAGCCAACCACTGGAACAGGTTTCAGTATGAACATGGGTTGGGCACTGTGCATGTGAACACAATCTTCCATGCCATTTAGAGCTCCAGGCAGCAGGGCTGTATGCTGTCAATCTAGTCCTAGGTCAGAGGATGTGTGGAAGGCCATACCTGAGGCTCTGGGGTGCTACCGAGGGAAAGGGACCAGCTGCTACTGGAAAGGCAGCCTTTTGGGGCTTTTCTAGTCCCTTTCAGTTTTCTTGGATTGGGGGATTAATCTTGACTAGACATAGGACGGGTCACACTAAATTCTCTGAACATGGATATTGAAGGTGTTTTTTATCTAACGTACACCATGGAGGTGATGTCTGTTCATGATCATTAACACCCCATGATGCTTTTCTCAATATCGGGCTGTTGGCTCCATTGTTCTAGCAAATTCAAATCATTTTTATCCCACAAAGTAATTTCATTCTTCAGCACCCAGAAGGAAATGGGCTCCTTGTATTTGCCTTCTGAAGCTGTGGTATGCTGTGAAGAGGAGAACCTTCCGTCCTTGAGACGGGAACTTTCAGTCAGGAGCAAAGGGGTTTCTTCATAGCAGAGATTGCCATTTATCCACAGCTGGGGGACATTGGTGGATTGGTAATATTCTATTTCCCTTCAATTTCATTACAAAAGTAAGCAAAGCAGTTACTACAGCAGGCAAGTACATTCTGTGCTCAAGAACTTGTTGAGTGCTTTCTTATTCTCTAATGGAAAATGCTAGACAGACATCAACTGCTCTTTATACAAAGAAAGAGGAAATATATAGTATCTGTGCCTTGCGAAGCTGAATGTGTTACACTTTTTTTCCTGCCCCCTGCTAACCAGGTAGTTGCTGCTTTCCTCTGCATGTTAACAGGCATTGAGAAAAATCACATGGCTGGCATATGCAGTGAAGCATCTCGATTTTATTAATCTAATTCATTCCCTGTCTTCCTCTACTTGCCTCTTTGTGGCTAACTTACTGCTGGCCCTGGTGCTGTCTGTGCATTCAGTTACACCAATGCCACAAGCAGATGGCTGTCAGTTCCTGGAAGGGCATCATTTGCCTAACTGACCCACCTTAGAGGTGGGTCCAAACAAACAGCCAGGTAAAGCACATACCTCAATTTCAGGCTAAGAAGAGAAGAGCTATCAAACTCTAAGTCATTTTGGGGTCAAACCTCTGTGAGCTCCACCTGCTTCCTTCCACAAGCATCCAAGTGCTTTGGAAGGGGAATATTTGTTCCACATCTATGACTTCTCTTTCAGAGATTTACCTAAGCCTCCCTAAAACTGTTTTAGGTTTTTGGACTCATGCTCTGCACAGACTTGTTTCTATCTGCTCAGACTCAGTTCTTCTTTTAGGTGGATACTCTTTTACAATGAAAAGAAAGAAAAACGGAAAGCAAACACTCAGCCTTGAATGCAGGAATGTGGGCAGATCTGGTTTTTATGTGGCTTTGGACCCCTCATCTTCATAAGCAAATGGAGTCAGCAGAGAGAATGAAAAAGAGCACTGAAAAAAATGCTGGAGAGGGAAAGACTTCTAGGTTGGGAGAAAAGGGGAGGGAAATATCTCTAGTTATTCAGCTGAGCAGTTTATTCAACAAGCTTAGAGGGAAAGAAGAGGGCAGAGTAAGCAGGGCTTTGCAGGAATCAAGAAGTCTTTTGTTTTCATGTAGACAGGAACAGTAGACAAAAGTACAACTTGCAAGAATGGAGCAATAAAACATTTTTAAATTTATATATCTTGTATTTGCTGAGTCCTGATACAGGATTTTTAATCTTCCTATTAAAATATGCAGCCCTTGTTTCATCCACCCTTTCTCCTCCCCATGCCCTATTGGCTTTAAAGTGCCTGGAGATTTATTGCAGCAAAAGTATTTAACATTCTGCTTTTCTTTGCTTGTATAACTACTGGATTCCTTACAATCAGCATTTTCAGGTAAAATTTTAATGGGAGGTAAGAAATCCTTAGGGATGTTTAAAGAGCACTACTGAAAAATAAAATAGGCCATTTCACTAACCCCTTCCTTCCTTTGCCTTTTGTAGTACCTCGAATTGTAATTAATTACTAGGTAATAATGCTTTCCTATCCTGCAGTCAAGAAAGAGCTGATCCTACACCAAGCCGTACAGATAATCACTGCATTGATGTGGTCTACATGACAGCTTGTTAGCCCACTCTTGGGCTGGTCTAGATACTGGTCTTTGGATAGACAAAGAGTCCTCACATTTTCCTCTGGAGATACATAAACATGGGCCAGCTACGCTGGTAGCATGAAAATGGTGCATGGTGTTGCTCTTCTTAGTTCTTGTGCGCTTCAGGGTTTATACATCCAGTAAAACAATACTTGAAACTGCAGGTGATGATGGATTAGAATAGCTGTTTTAGCAACGTTCCACTCCTAGCATTCAGTGCAAGATGTGATACGCTCTTACACCTCTAAGTCCATCTGGAGCCTCAAAAAAGGCTGCCTCTCTTATTTCAGAAAGTGAGATGACATCCCATTTCCTCTGGACAGGGATGAAAGTTTGGCTCACTGATTCTTCAGAACTTCCCTGGTGTTTCATGCGTCTGTAACTAAGGTCTTCTTTCCCCTTAAGAGCAAATGTTCATCAACACAGAGCAAAGAAGGCATGAAGGATAATAAGGGTGAGAAACTGTGAGAAGGATCAGAGGCAGGAGGAGAGGTTCAGAGCGTTAGGTTTACATCTATTATTAGGAGGAGATGGATATGTGCATTTTTGAGTTAGACCAAGGAGCTGTAAGCTGCAAGATGGGGAAGGGGAATGGGTTTGAAAACAAGCACCGAAGCTTATGGAAGGGTAATGTGTTGAAGGGATGCTAGAGAAATATATTTATGGAGAAGGCATTGGTTTGTGGCACCTGTGTGCAGCACTGTCTCGGCCAAATATCATGAAAGAAGTCAAAACTGTGAATGCATCTGAATTCAACAGGCAATAAAAGGAAGAAATGGGGCCGGAGACAGACACAAAAATGTAAAAGGAAGCTGGGCAGGTGGCCTGTATCAACCCTCACAGTTGACAGTATTTCATCTGTTGTTCTTAGGAAGTCAGTCTGCCATTGACCTAGCCCCCCAGTGGTGTCACAGGTTGAGAAGCAAAGTGGAAGTGGAGCACTTAGGTAAGAGAGGAAAGAGAAAATAAGATGATCCACTTCAGGCACCAGAAGTGACATCAGGAAAAGATGCACCTTGCAAAGACCCTGCTGTGACCTTCCAAAAATTCTGCCCTGAGCTTGCCCTGACCCTCAGAGTCCTCCATGGAAAATAACAGAAGGTGGTGAACAAGTAGCTTCAGGACAAGCCTGGAGGCTTCAGTCACTGATTAGAGCATGCTGTTTTGTAACATTTTAAGACAGTCAGATGAAACTTGGTCCTCTTTCCATTGAAGCAAATAGCAACATTCCCATAGACTTATTGGAAGCTAACCCTGAGGCACTTGCTTCTCCTGTGAAACCATCTCTCTGGAGTCTATGTATTTTTAATGCACTAATCCTTGAGGTGCTGAACACAAAGTTGCACAAAACAAATATGCCATCTGTGGGATTATCCTCTGCCTTTCCTTTCTGTATAGTCTGAGAAAATTTGGGTTTCTACATTTATAGCTTAGCCCTTGGGAGAAACTGAATGGGAAAAGCTAGGTCTCTATTGGAAACAGAGACACGCTATGTCAAGCAGACTTCCCATATTCCTTCCTTTGTTGCTTTCACATCCTTTCTGACTGTGTTCTGCCTGCCTCTGCTACTGAGGTTTTCTTCCTATACTCATTCCTTTCTCTTTACCCCTTCTCATTTTCATCCCTAGCTTGCTCTGTATTTCGATAGGCAGCCATGGTTTCAGTGAATCATGTAACAAAAATCCAACCCCTTTCACATAAAGCATTGAAACACTCTCTTGATGGGTGATAATCCATTCCCTTTCAAACCCATTTTGCTACTTTGACAGAGTTCTAGTCCTCTTTGTTAAGACTACGGATTTTTTGCCTGTTTGCTTGGTTTCTGTTGGCAGAGTCCCTT